AAAAAGATTATTCAGTTGTTTAGTGCTGCCTTACCCTGTTCTGTTCCATTTGTCTGAATTTGTACATAGTAGTTCTGGAAATGAGATTTGAAGGAAATGATCCATGTACATATCTCTAATAGGCTTTCTGAAAGTATTTAGAAAAGCATTTTTAAAAGGCAGTGGATTACTGAATATGCGTCATATTTCAGAATAACAAAGATCCTCATTTGAAAATGAAGGCTCTTGGCCTCTGTTACATGAACAGGGGAAATGTCTCATTTTGTACTGTTTGTTTGTATTTATTGTACTTTTTGTAAATAAATTTACTTCTGTTTGTACTTTGTATGCTTGTTTTTAAAAAAGTATATCGAAAGTATAGGTAAGAAATTTTTTCTGTAAATCCAGTTGCATTTTATAAGTAGAATTCTGGAGTCAGAATGAGTATGATGTAATGAACATATCTGAACTAGTAATCACAACTAGTAAGTTTCTCAGAGATTCACACTCCTATTCTTAGAAGAAATAAAAGAGTTTTTAAAGAATAACTGACAAAATTTACACTGGCATGTCTGAGCCCACTGCATAATCCAGGATAGTCTTTTTATCTTAAAGTCAGCTGATTAGCAGCCTTTATTCTGTCTGCAACCTTAATTCTTCCTTGCCATGTAACATAACATTCGTAGGTTCTGGAGATTAGGACTTGGACATCTTTGGGGAAAGGGGGCAGCATTATTCTGCTTATCATAGATAAACTAAACTTATTCCTTGCAAATCACACAAATGTACACTCTGTTAGCAGTACATAAAGAGTGAGACTTAACCTTAGTATATGAAGTACTAAGTCAAATATCATAAATCTATATAATGTATTTCTGAAATTTTTTTTAATCTAAAAGGGTTTTTGTGTGTCCAGGTACATGTTCTTAAAATAACTGCCTTTAGAAATGGTTTCTTTATAAAAAGGTCATAACACAAAGTTGGTCTTCATTTGATCTGACTCAGAGCTCACTCATTCATTTGTGAACAGTCTTTTCTCTGGGGGTATTTGTCAAAAACAATCAGCAACAATAGTTTAATATCAGTCAGGTGTGGTGGCTCACACCTGTAATCCCAGTGACTTGAGAGGCTGAGGCAGGAGGATTGCTTGAGCCCAAGTTTGAGGCTGCAGTGAGCCATGACTGTGCCACTGCACGCCAGCCTGGGTGACAAAGCAAGACCCTGTCTCTAAAAAAAAAAAGTTTAATATCACAGCTGCCTTAAACTGCTACAACAATTGAAGCAAACAAGCTGACTAAAAAGGGAAATCTCATAACTAAAATATACATATTTGAAATGTGGGTATTTTAAGCTCTGATATATTCCTGGGAATCTGGAAGGCCACATGCATGCTCTGCGTTGTGTGTATGCCCAGGGAATACATAAAAGGCACTAATCTCTCACCTCTGTCTGACCTTCAGGCTCTGTCCAAGCAGGAAATTGAGACAAAGGTAGAGTTATAAATGGCTAGAGCATTGACAGTGTATTCCAACATGCACATGGAGCCCCTGTGGCAAAGGCATTCGTGGAAATCTTTGTCCAATCATTAGCTGACCACTAAGCAAACTGAGCAGAACTTCAAGGGCCACACACATGTTGCAGATGACATGATCTTGCATTTAGAAAACCTTAAGGATTCCACTAAAAAACTTAGGATAAATAAATGCATTCAGTGAGGTTGCAGAATACAGGATCAATACACAAAGTTGTATTTCTATACACTATCAATGAAAAATCTGAAAATAATGAAACAATTGCATTTACAATAGCATTAAAAAGACCAAAATGCTAAGGAATAAATTTAACAAAAGAAGCGTAAGACATACACTAAAAGCTATAAAACATCATTAACATACGCCAAAGAATTGGAAGCAGGAACTCAAATAGGTATTTGTACACTCATGCTCATGACAGCATTTACAACAGCCAAAAGGCGGAAGCAATCCCAGTGTCCATTGATGGATGAATGGAAAAACAATATGGTATGTACATACAATGGAATGTTATTCAGCCTTGAGGGAAATTCTGACACATTGGATACACATAGATGAAACTTGAGGACACTGCTAAGTGAAATAAGCCAGTCACAAAAGGACAAATACTGTATGATTTCACTGACATGAGGCATTTAGAGGAGTCAAATTTATAGAGACAGAAAGTAGAAAGGTGGTTGCCAGGGACTGGGAACAAGGAGGAGTGAGGAGTTAGTGTTTAATGGGTATGGACTTTCAATATGGGGAGATGGTAAGTTTTGGAGATGGATGGTGGTGATGGCAGCTCAGTGCTATAAGCAAAAAGACAGTAAGTGTTGGCAAGGATCCGTCAAACTGGAACCCTTGTATGTTGCTGGTATAAAGGGCGGCAGCCACTTCAGTAAACCTTTTGGCAATTCCTCAAAAGTTAAACATACACCATACAGCCAGGCAATTTCACTCTTAGTTATATGCTCAAGAGAACTGAAAATATATGTCTGTGCAAAAACTTGTACACAAGCATTTGCTACAAGCATTATTCATAGTAGTGTCAAGGTGGCAGTCTGCCCTCGGTTCTTGATGTGCTCTTGGCTGAAGAATGACCAGACACACCAAAGTATCAAGTCCAGACTATTACCCTGGTCCTCTGACACCTTACTTGGAAAAATCACCAGCCTGGCCAATGCAATGGAGTAACCTCAGGCAGCGAGCAGTTTCACTTGAGTAGCTCTTTATTGTAGAATAAAATGGGGCTGTCTCCTCGAGTGTAGAGAGACAGACCAACTCACTCACTCACTGACTCACTCTCTGAAGTCTCAGATTGTTTCCTTTTATTAGCCCAGTCCGAGGGAGGGCTCTTGGGAGGTGTGGGATATTACCAAATGATCAATAGGTGTCCTCAAAATGCCATCTGCATATACGAGCTGAGCTCCCTCTCCAAAAGCCCACCTGAGGGGAGCAGTGAACCACAATGCAGACTCAAGCTAATGGCATAATTACCCTTAGGGTTACTCCAGGTCACTTTCCAAATCCTATCATGCCTGGGCTGGGGAATTCCCAGATTGATCAAGCATTCCCTCCTTCCCCCAGTGTAGCAGGTGCTCTGGATATGATTAAGGGTGGGGCAACACCAAAACGGAGTGCCTGCCCTTATCCTTCTTCCCAGGTGGAGCAACAGCTGGAGACAGCACCAAAGCAGGGCACACCTGTCCCTAGAAGAGCCGGAGATCCTAACTACCTACCTACCAGCAGTAAAAAGGGAGAAACAACTGGAATGTCCAACTGATGAGTGGGTAAGTACAATGTGGTATATCCATATCATGCAATATTATTCAGCTAGAAAAAGGAATAAAGTACGGATACATGCTACAACACAGATAAACCTTGAAAAAATTATACCACGTGAAAGAAGCCAGACGAAAAAGCCACATATTGTATGATTCCCTTTATATGAAATGGCCAGAATAGGCAAATTTTTAGACAGGGAAAGTAAATTAGTGGTTTCCAGGGGATGGGCGAGAGAAGAACGGGGAGTGACTGTCATATACTCTCAGAATTCCAAACTAGAATACTTATTTCAGGCCATATATTATTCAAGTTATCGATCTAATAAACAATTCTACTCCTGGGAACTTGGAGAATTTGGAAGACAAGTATTTTTTTAACTTGTTTCTCTACCTTGACATAATTTTCAAATTTGGGATTTACTTGATGCATGAGAATGTTCTGAAATTAGATGGTGGTACTTGAACAACTCAGAATATACTAAAAAACACAGAATTACACATTTTAAAGAAGTGAACTTGAATTATATCTCAATGAAAAAGCAGAATATGAATTTGAAAATTATGTCAAGGTAGGGAAACAAGTTAAAAAATTACTAAATACCACACAGAAGTTTTTTTTTTTTTGCAGGGTTTAATCTAGTGATATTTATCATATTAGAAATTAAAATTGAGAAATAAAAAAAATTTTAATCATTTACAAGTAACAAAAACCCAGTACATGTTAACATAAATAACTTTTTTGAAAAGCAACTATTTTTCTAAAACACACACAAAAAATCATTCCTAAGAAGAGTGGCATTGCTTTACATTTTTTGTAAATCTCTTTAATATTCAACTTAAGAGAAGACAGTTGGATTCGCAAATCTGCTTCCGCATTCAGTCTGTTACGGTATCAAATATCAGGTAGCCTCTGAAAAACTCTGTACACTCATGAAAGAATGAAAGTGAAAAAAGATAAATGACATCTTAGTATTATAAACATAGCTTTGACCTTGAGTACCCTTGAACGGCTCTTAAGGACCCCCAGACCACACTTGGAGAACCACTCCTGCTGTCCATCTCCTCATTTTACGTATTAGGACACTAGGTCTCAGAGTAAGTGAGAAATCCACAATCACATGGCCTGTGAAAGGTAGGATACAGATCTTAGATGTTCTGTCTCACTTCCCTTAGCTTAGGTTCTCAATCAGAAACCTGGGAAATAGACCCTAATGGCCTGTCCTGTTCCCTCTAGTTCAAAGACTGTCACAATATATTAATGCCACCAAAATTTTTTAAATAAAAAAGAAGAAGTAAATCAACAGACATGATAAGTTCTGCATCAGACATACTGTGTTTAAATATGAATCACAATATTTGAATCAGGATCTATATTTGAACTGAAACACTAAGACAAATTCTATTATCCCTACCGCATGCAAGCTGGCCATGACAACTGCACAGTAAATAGCACAGATAAATAGGGAAAGCAGATTACCCACGATGTCACTATTTATCATCCATTCTGCATCCATAATATAATTCAATGATGCATTTCAGAAATATTTTCTCACGCGCTGACTGAAAGATGTTGGGTATATCAAGAGACAACAAATAAATTGGCAATCATAATGAAGTTTTTAGATCAAATGGAGTTGTTGTTAAATGTAGATATTTTTCATTCCCTAACCAGACATTATTTTTGTCTTTTTAAAAAAACATCAAGAAATCTTCTTGGTCATCTAGAGATGATTTCCTTTGTATCCTACCAGATGGTTCAAATCTTCTTTAAATGGATTATATCCTTGTTCTTTTAAACAACGCAGTGCCCAGAAAAGCTGGTCTAGTGGAGGAAATTCTTCCCAAGGAACCCACTCCCAACCTAGAAAAGAAAGACACCAAATCAATTTATTTAGCTGACACAAAACAAAGGGTATTTATTTGAGTAAGCTGACCTATATTTAGAAAAAATTAACAGACTGTAAAAATTATTTGGCCTGGCCATGGTTGGTGGCTCATGCCTGTAATCCCAGGACTTTGGGAGGCCGAGGTGGGAGGACCGACGAAGACAGAGAGAGAGATGGAGTGGCAGAGAGAGAGAGATCTCGAGTGCGCAATGATGTGCTGTAAAATGCTAAATTAACGACTGTCAAGAGAGCTGTCTTGACAAAAGAGTGTCAAGAAAGTTTATCTTAATTATTTCACCATATTTGTCTCCTCTAGTCAGCTGTTTTTGCCCATAGAAAAGATAAAAATAAGGAAATGTTCAGTCCTTTCAAGTTTAGGGTTCTATTTTAAAATAACAATAACCAGTGCTCATTACCTGAATAAATTATACCTCCAAACTAATTTAACAAAAAGTTCCGTTATGTGTAATAGTGTATTTTGCTTCATAAAGAAAAAAGTAAGCTCAGTTCTACAAAAAATAATAAAATGGAAATATGCATAATTTACATCAATTTAATATTAAAAGGTCAAATGATCAACTGCTCCTCCCCTCAGTTTGAGAACGTAAAGGCTGTGATGTTTTTCCCATTACTATCGGTACTGGGCTCTCCCCTTTCCTATCCCTCATTTTATCTAAGATAATTAGGGATGTTAGAGGTAGGAGAGACTTCTAGAGAACTCCCCCATGTTCCTGGTATATTTTTTACCTACCTTTCCTGCCTTCCACTTCTTGAGGCATGAACAATTTTAGCTGTACCCTAGGCCAACTGAAGACCTTTAGATACTTTGTAGGTGTTTCTTTGCTAGTTCATTTTAAATGATCTGAGCAGTTACCTACTTTATCAAAAATCTTCTATGACTCAACAAGCCCTTGGGTGGCCAACATGCCCTTCTGTTCATTCAATCGAATCAATGTGTAAAAACACGATTTATGCATTCTGCAAACATCACTTCCTCCAGATCTCTGCATATATGTCCGTCCCAGAGGCCCTTTCTGCCCACCCTGTCTGATACAGCACCCATGCATCGCTGTCCTAACACACCTTTGTTACTCTTTCTAGTCCTTATCGCTACTGTCATAAAATACCTGCTACTCTGTTGTTTCTCCTCCCACTAAAATGTAAAGTCCAGGAGCGCAGGGACTTTGCTCTACACACCACTGTTCCTTTAGTGTCTAGAACAGTGTCTGGTACACAGTACTCAATAACCGTTTGTTGAATGAAAAGATTCTTCCATGTCAGAAAAGAAATCAAATGTTTAGAGGGGAGTTCAGTTCGTGAAACCACTGGGATAAAGTTTTATATGGCGAATAATACATTCAAAAACTTTGGTCATTTTCTCTTCAGTTCCTTTTCCCACAGTTTTATAAGAATTTGAGGAGAGATGATATTTGTAAAACCCTCAGAACAATGCCTAGCATACAGCAAATAATTGTCATGAAAACTTTCAGAGCACTCAATTCAACATTTAGAGGTAACAGATAACTGTTTTGTCAGAGTAATTATTCAGGGTAAAAGGAAGGTATTGCCTCTCCTGCACAGGTCATACAACTGAGGAAAACATGAAACGAATGTGCTGGGCTCTCTCTTTCCTATTCCTCATTTTAACTAAGGTAATTAGGGATGTGAGAGGGAGGAGAGACTTCAGGGTAAGCCTCTGAAACAAAATTAACCACTAACAATAACATTAACATCTACTGAATACTCACTTGTTCACTAGGTTCTTTATATGTAAATTCTTACAACCACCCATCTGAGGCAGTTACTATCACCACAGATGAGAAAAGAGGCCTTGCTCAAGGTCACAAAGCTCTAAATGTAAAACCAGGACACAAACCCAGCTAGTCTGGTTTCTCATGATTTAAATATATTTATATATCTATGTTTCATCTCTATCTCTATATTTACATATCTTAGTCCTTTAGGGCTGCTATAACAGAATGCCTTAGACTAGATGGCTTATAAACAACAGAAATTTATCTATCACAGGCCTGGAGGCTGGAAGTTCAAGATCAAGACACTGGTAGATTCGGTGTCTGGCGAGGACCCACTTCTTGGTTCACAGACGACCATCTTCTCTCTGTAGCCTTACATTGTGGAAGGGGTGAGGGGCCTCTCTGGGGTCTCTTTTATAAGGGCACTAATCCCATTCATTACTTTATGATCTAATCATCTCCCAAAGGGCCCCACCTCCTGAAACCATCACCTTGGGGGTTAGGATTTCAACACAGGAACTTGAGAGGAACACAAACATTCAAACCATAGCATTCTCTTCATATGGCAACATAATGTAATACATCTTCAGACCATACGCTCTCCTCAAAGAAAGATGCATATTATATATAATTCTCTTACTTTCATTTTTCTCAGGCTCTACATTCTTTGGTTCTGGATCATGAGTCACGTCCACCTCTCCTTTCATTAATATAGTGACATAATGGTAATTCTCTTTCTCAACGAACGAATTCACAACTGAGGCAAAGCGAACATTTTTCAGATGAAGAGCTGCTTCTTCCCAGGTTTCCCTTTGAGCACATTCTTCCCAACTCTCACTGGAAAACAGAAACATACCATTGTATTCAATTTTATTTATATAATTTTTTTTTTGCCATGGAATTATTCTTTGGCTAGAAATTTCTAGTGTAAAGCAAGAAGAACAGTAATCGGTTCCTACTTTAAAACAATAAATCCACAACCTTGCCTTTGACATTCTGTATCTTCTGTATCTAGTTATCTAAAGACCAAAAGGACTTCATACTGAATTTTAGAAATTAACAGTTAGCCAATTCAGCACTAATTCACAGGTCTGGAAGCTGCATGACACCAGGAGGCAGTTTAGTGTATTACGAGCACTGGCTTCGGAGTCAACTAGATCTTGGTTTGAGTGCAAGTCCATTACCTTCTACCTTGGACAAGTGAAAAGAGAGTAAAATTACTTTCCCATGGGGTTCTTGTAAGTATATCAAGTGCACTGTGTCTTTTCCAATACTCTTTTAATTTTAGTTTAAGCTTCAAAATTGAAGCCAATAAATAGGTAATAAGCACCTCTAAATTCTCAAGAGTATAGCAAAACAACAAACAGATATCATTTGAGCTCAAGGGTTTGCTAAGGAAGGCCAGACTAGTCCTGTGACCTCACCCTACCCAGGCTATATAAGAAAGAGGAAATCCTTGAGAGGGAGGAAAATTGTGAGTTTTCAGCCTAGTAGGAATGTTTTCCTTCTTTCCTATGAGGGGCCAACTCTGTTCTCCAAGCCAAGTGAGTGGCATTCCAAGCGAATCAGTCACAGAGATTGGGTGTGACTCTAAAGAAGGAGATACCAGTTGTCACTCCCCTGCTAAAGACATACTCGGCTACAGAAACTCACCGGTCTACCCCAGCATATTAGAGCAGGAGTAGTGGGAGGGTAATAGCTCCTGAGTAAATCTGAAGTGTGTCCCTTGGAGTTTTGGGATGCAGGTGAATACAAAGGCTGATGCTTATTCCAACCTCGGGAATTTGGAAGGTGGGAGACTGGCTACAGCAACCCAATATGGCTGAGCCAGGAAAAAGGGCAGTGCTGAAAGCATCCTTCCCACTGTGTATTTCCTTTGGGCCAAGCAGATGCCATGAGAGACTGCCAGGCATTCCACCAGGAGACCCCAGCAGAAAGACAATGTGGAGTAATGTGCTACAAGCAAGAGCTAGGGGAGAGGGCCCAGTGCCACAGAAAGCCAGTCACCTAGTCAGGGAAATCCTTGTGGGACTTCCACACAACTGACAAACATACCCTGAGGAAGAAAGCACACAGTGGATACTGCACCCAGAGGGCAGGATTGGATGAGGGATGGATTAGAGCAGCACTCATCACTCAAATTGCCTGCCCTCTCTCCTCCTTCCCCAACACCAGAGAAGGAAAGAAACTCAGAAACAGCAGAGTGAAGAGAGGAGGAGTTGGAGAAAGAGCAAAACAATGGCCCACACCTCCTTCCTGCACTACAGGGGAGATTAAAAACTGGACGTGAGACTGAAGGTTTAAATTGGATTGGACTTTTAAATGCTTGGAAATGAGTCATAATGACCCAAATGTGATTTATTTTTATGCCAAGTGACAGGAAAACAATAGAATTTACAGGAAAGACATTGAAGAGAAGGGAAAGACAAATTATGTTTGAGGAAAATGGAAGGAAAAAATGAAGCCATTTCCTGTTTGTTTTTCCATCAAATTTGGCCCACTTGGTATACCATTTATGTAAAGATCAAGAGAAAGCATGCATGTGAAGAGCTCAGCATACTGATCAGCACTTAGTAAAAAGCTTGTTGAAGTTCAAGGATGGCTGTGATCACTGATATCTGAGTCAAGACTTCAACACTTTCTTGAGCTATTGTTCAGACAGCTATCTCCAGCCACTGCTCTGGTAATTGTACATTTCAACTAGTGCTTAGTTTGTGATCTAAGTTTGGCTAATGCCCACCAGCATTCAACAAAGTACAATACGTGTGGCTGTCTGGGCAATTTGGTTCTTAATCTAGACATTTTATTATTTATTAACTGATAGCTTACCTTCATCATCTGAATATGATAAACTTATTGATGCTTGTTAAAATTCTGAAGACAATAAAAAAATTCCAAACACACACAAAAACTTCCACACGCTACAAGATCATAAGAATTCCATATTTTATAAAGGACAAAGTCCAATTAAAATGCACTTGGATCAAACATCTCCTGTACTTCTAACTACCCACTTTATATGAAAGAGGTGGATTAAAAGAGCATAGTCATAATGTGAGAAATTCTTCAGGACAAGTGACCCATAGTCTTCAATACCTAAATGGCATGGGAAGAAAGAAGGGGGGCATTATTGTTAAATTGAAAGATCTAAAAAATGTATCAACTAAATGAAATACATGTCTTTCCTTTGACCCCAGTTGGTACAAAACAATAAAAAGACATTTTTAAGATAATCAAGGAAAACGATGCACAGACTGGGTATCGGATGATACTAAAGAATTGTTTTGTTAGGTGTGGAAATGGTGTTATGGTTATGTTTTTTTAAAAAGTCTATTAGAAATACGTACTGAATTCTAGGGATGGTACAACACGATGTCTGCGATTTCCTCTAAAATAGCCTAGAAAACCAGTGTGCGTCTGTTTGGGGTAGGGGAGGGTGGGGCAGTAAAGATGAAACAAGAACAAGCTCTGTGAAAGGTACATGAGGATTCACTATTTTCTCTGCTTTTATGTACATTTGATATTTTTTATACTAAAGGAGAAAAAAGCGCTGAGTCTGGATGCTTTAGATGCTGTGTATCTGTTGTTGACGTTAACCTTATTTTCACGTCAGAATCCACTTTTTAGCACCATCCCAGCTTTTCTTCTCTCTTGTACAGAACTGACTCCTCACTGTCCATCTCCCTTTGTCGGTCTGACATATTATCTAACTGCAGGATGCCAAGGCAGAAAGGGACCTTAGAGTATTTCGTCCAACAACCCCATTTTAAAGACGAAGAAACTTGAGAGCCAGAGGGTTTCATTAGCCCATTTGCTCGGTCACAGTGCAACTACAATTACGCGGCCAGTATTAAATTTATCTGCGTACGTCTAGATCACATGGAAACCGTGCAAATGTCTTAACCGACCACACTGGACTGCTCGAGGTTTATAAACACCCACCTTCCTTCTCTTCTGTGTTTAAGCACAGAGAAAAAACACATCTCCCGCGCCAACTCCAGCTGCAACCGAGAGGGGGCGCAGCTGAGAAGAATGAGCTAGCGGAGCCCACCCGGGAGCGAGGAGATCCTTCCCTGCCACGCACAGCGCCCCCTCCCGGCGAGAGCCTGCAGGGCAGAGAGCGGAGGGAGGAAGCGAGGGAACGCGTGAGAAAGACGCAGCGTCGGCGAGGACGTGCGTACGCACGGGGCACGGAGGCACGCACGGCGCGAGCGCGTCTCTTCTGCTCGCGGTCCGCTATTCTCCTGCCGCCCGTTAGATGGCTGCTCACCCGAACTCCAAGTGACCCCCGGGAAGTTGGAAACTGCCTGCTCCAAACGTCCCTTTCCTTTTCCCCAGGAGGACACAACCGGGATGCTGGGAGCTGGTCACCACGACTCCGACTCCGACTCCGGGCCGTCGCCTCTGCGGCTCCGCGCTGGCGGTCATAGCGCGAGCGGGAGGTCGCGAGCGGCCGCAGCAGGAAGTGACGTGCGCCCGGCCCTCGCAGCGCCACCAATCTCTGCCTGAGCTGGCGCGGGCGCCCGAAATCAAAGTGAGCGTCCCTCCGTCTCCTGCCTTTGTGCGTGGTGCCTTCCTCACGTTGGATTTCAGCTTGCCGAGGGTACTGTTTCCTCCCGATAGACAGCACGCCTAGAGTTCCGTTTTAACTGGTGTCACTTACTATTGCGCTTCGGACGTTCGTCATCCGTCTGTCACTCCCAGATTCTTCCAAACCATACATTTACAAGACACCTGCTTTTATAAACCTCTACACCGTTGCACATTCTATTTTTTTTTCCTTGGATGATCCTGTCCGCCACCTTGAAGTCATTCTCACTGTAGCTCATATCAGTGTGATAATCAAGCAAGGACAGATCGTGTAGAAACAATCCAGTATAAATAACTGTACTTAAAGAGTATTCATAAATCATGGGAGAAAATAAAGATTAATCAATAAATTGTGTTGAGATGAGTTAGTGGAAAACCAGACACTTCTATATGTTTACACCATGTACCCCCAAAATAGAAAATCGCAGCTGAGTCAATGAGTTGTAAATAAAACAAACTAAAAACAAACAAATGATAGGGAAGATTTACTTTTTAAAAAAATACATAAAATTTTTTTATTAATATTAATTTTTGCTTCTACCAAAGTAGTGTGCACATAATTTTAAAAAGTTAAATGGTACAAAAACTGCAACAAGAACATCCCTACCTGATAGTCCTGCTTCCAGAAACAATTGCTCCTTACCTATGAACTGTTATTTCTAATATTTGCCTCCATATTTCTAAGCAATATGCTTATTATCCATGTACGGTAAAGGGAGATAAAGCTTTTTACAGCATCTCTGCTCACCACCAACACACACAGATTCATTAGTATCCTGTGCATGATGCATGTACAAAGGTACTCTATAATAGTTTCTCAAGTAAAAATTGGCAACATATAAAAAGGATAATATATCTTAACTGAAGGGGATTAATCTCAGAAATACAACGTTGGCTTAATATTTAAAAAGCCAAGCAATGTAAGTCAGCGTAGTAACAGAACAAAAAAGGAAACACGTATTTTAATAGATGCAGAAACAAATTTGACAAAATTGAATACTGATGCATGAGGTAAAAAACAACCTCTGAGCAAACTAGAAATAAAAGGGAATTTTAACACTTTATATAATGTAAAGCATCTATGAAGACTTACAGCGAATCACCATATTTAATGGTTGCTATGAGGTGACTCATGTCCCCTGCCCTCAAATTCACATGTTGAAATCCTGACCCTCAGTATCTAAGAATGTGATTGTATATGAAGATAGGGTTTTAAAAGAGGTAATTAAGTTAAAATAAGGTCATTAGGGTTGGCTCTAATCCAATATGACTGGTGTCCTTATAAATAGATTATGACACAGACACAGAGGGAAGACAACATGAAAACCCAAGGACAAGACAGCCATCTGCAAGCCAAGGAGAGAGGCTTTAGAAGAAACCAAGTCTGCTGACACCTTGATGTTTTTATATTATATTAACAGTGAACAATCAGAAACTAAAATTATAAAACAATACCATTTGCTATATCCTAGAAAATATAAAATACTTAGGGATAAATGTAGCAAAAGATATGTAAGACCTATACATATACAGTAAAAAGTATAAAACATTGCTGAAGACATTAAAGATTTAAATAAAAGGAGAGAAATATTATGATCATAGAACAGAAGACTCAATATTGTTAAGATATCCATTCTTTCCAAATTGATTTATATAGATTCAATGCAATCCCAATCAAAGTACCAGAAGCCTTTTTTTTTTTAGTAAAAATTGATAGGCTTATTCTGAAGTTTATATGGAAATGCAAAGGATTAGAATAATCGAAACATTTTTTAAAAAGAAAAATTTGGAGGATTTCAGGACTTAGGATCAAGCCACAGCAATCAGGAGAGTGTGCTATTGGTAAAATCATAGACACAGATCAATGGGACAGAATAGAGAAACTAGAACTAGACCCACATATTTATGATTAATTAATTTTTGAAAAATGTGCAAAGGCAATTCAATGACGAAAAAATTATCTTTTTAACAAATGGTACTAGAACAACTTGACATACAAGTGTAAAGAAGTAAAAAGAGCCTTGATTCATACTTGGAACCATATATAAAAATTAACTCAAAATCAATCATACAACTAAATAAAAAAAAACACCTAAAAAGTATAAAATTTCTAGAAGAAAATATAGGAGAAAATCTTTGTGATCTTTGGTTAGATATAGATTTTTTTAGGTTTGACACCAAAAGCATGATCCATAAAAGAAAAATTGATGATTTCGGCTTCATCAAAATTAAAAACTTATTCTCTTTAAGAGACCTATGGGGCTTAGTTGTTTCCCATCCTCTACCCCCAAATTCATATGTTGACTCCCTAACCCCCAATGTGATGGTATTTGGAGATGAAGCCTTTGGGAAGCAATCAGGTTTAGAGGCTGGGATCCTCATGATGGGATTAGTGCCCTTATAGGAAGAGATTGGAGAGCTTGCTCACCCTCTCTCTGCCCTGTGAGGACACAATGAGAAGGCAGTCGTATGCAAGCCTGGAAGAAGGCCCTTGCTAGGAATCACATCTGATCTTGATCTTGAAGTTGAATTTCCCAGCCTACAGAACTGTGAGAAATAAATGTCTGTTGTTTAAGTTACCCAGTCTATGGTATTTTGTTATTGCAGCCACAGCTGAGCAAAATGAAAAGGCACGTTACAGACAGGGAGAAAATATTTGCAAAGCATGTATCTTATGAAGGACTTGGATATAGAATATGTAAAGAATCCTCAACACGCAATAATAAAACTAACAACTTGACAAATGGGTAAAAGAATTGAATAATTTCACAAAAAAAGAGATGTGATGGCAAATAAGCACACAAAAAGATGCTCAACATCATGAGTCATTAGGAATGTGAAAATTTAAACCACACTGAGATACCTCTACACATCTGTTAGAACGAATAAGAAAAAAGACTCCACAAAAACTGGCAACACCAAGTGCTGGTGAGGATACCAAGCAGTTAGAACTCTCATACATTGTTGGTAGAAATGCAAAATTGCACAACCACCTTGGAAAACAATTTCCTATTTCATATAATGTTAAGCATACACTTACCATACAAGCCGGCAATCCTATTCTTGGATATTGACTCAAGAGAAATGAAAGCTTATGTTCATACAAAGACCTGTATGCAAGAGTTATAGCAGCTTTATTCATAATCATCAAAAACGGGAAATAATTCAAATGTTCTTTAAATGGTGAATGGGTAAATCAACTGTGGTACATTCATACAATGGAAAACTACTCAGCACTATAGAGGAATGCACTTCTGATACACTCAACAACGTGGATGAATTTCAATTGCATTATGCTAAGTGAATGAAATCAGATATAAAAGGCTACATGCTGTACCTTTCCATTTATATGACATTCCAGAATAAACAAAACTCTGGACACAGAAAACAGGTCAGTGTTTTCCTGGGGTTGAGAGTGTCGGGAAGGGTTAACTACACATGGATACAGGGGATTTTTGCAGGGTGATGGAACGGTTTTATATCTTGATTATCATCGTGGTGACATGACTACGTATTTGTCAATACTCATAAGTACTGACACTAAAAAGAGTGAATTTTACTACCTATGCGTTAAATTCAACAAATCCGACTTTAAAAAAAAGCCAAAAAACAAAAATATAATGTGATCTTGGAGAAACAAAAAGTCAAGATGCAATTCAGCAGTGGAAAGAAAGGGTCAAGACAGTGCGGAGCTAAGATTCTTCACTTAATATCAAAAGTTGTCATTCTGTGGGTGGAGCTGGGTCTTTATTTCTGGGGTGGCTAGCCTTAGTTAGGCTGGGGCCAGGAGGAGCAGGTTCCTATTCTCACTGGGCCCTAGAAGACTTGGGCAGCCTGGGCTCTGGGGTGGTGGTGTCCATGGTGACGGCATTCCTGTTAAGGCAAGTAGGCTGCTCCTAAAACATAGTAGGAAGTTGGGGGCTAAGACGGGAGTGGGAAGGTGAGGAGGACAACTGATGACATTCAGGAGAAGTCACATTTAGTGGCCGATTTGAAGTTTCCATTCACTATCCCAAAGCTTTCAGTAAAGTCTGGTTATATGTCACAGCCTGGTCTTAAGTGAGCTTTGAAGAGTTGGAATGGCCTGAGTCCACCCTCCTATAAAGGCATGATGAAAGAGGAGCATCTGCCCGGAGAAGCATTGAGGTCAAGGAGGGTGTCTTTGGTCTCAGTATCCCTGGTACCCAGAGCAGTGACTAATACATAAGTGCTCTATAAATGAATACTTGAATGAAAGCTGCTCTTCTCTGTATTAGTGCAAAAAAATACAGACATCCCCCACTTAGGATGGTCCAACAATGGTTTTTTGCTTTATGATGGAATAAAAGCAATACAAATTCAGTATGTCCCTCAACTTACGATGGGATTATGGGATGTAACCCTACTGTAAATTGAAGAGTGTCCGTAATTTCAATGTATTTAAACAACTAGAAAAGGATTTTTTCCTGAAAACTTTATACTGTTTGTAAAAGGTGGCATGACTCACACGAAGTACAAATGGTTATAAAGGAAAAAGTCACCAAGCCGATGTTTATGAATCATATAGAGAAGTGTAAATCAATTCATTTAGATATTACTTACTCTAATTAAAAAATCCACATATCAAATTCCCTCTGCAGGAACCAGTTGAGCAGGGTACACCAGTAATTATTGCAGCATTAGAACCCAAGAGAGCTTCTTATTGCTACATCTGCTCCTTAGTTTATCCAGATTCCCAGTCAAAGGATGGGGGCTCCAGGCACAGGGACCCCTCCCCTGCCCGATCTGGGCTCTCCCTTCTCCTCCTTCCTGTTCACACAGAAGTATCTTACTCTCAGCCTGGAGGATGCTGGAATCCC